ATAGAGATTGTGTTTCGGAGTGACAAAGGTGATATGATGCTCGGAAATTATGTTTTCAGACGGAGGAAGGCTCACGGGTATGTTGTTAGATTTGGACGACATCGGTATATGCGCAGTGGAGGTAAGACTTTGATGGTAAAGTCGAATTTTGTTAGTTATTGGAAGGCTTGAGGTGGAAGGTTTTTATATATTAGGGGATGTAGTTTGGATATTGAGCCTCACGATTCTGGCTATTACATGGTTTGTGAAGTGAAAGAAGCTTGATTTCAACGTTGAATAAGAATCTGCTGTGCTGATGGAATCGGGTAGCGAGGAACTGGAAGGATCGGTGTTTTTACTCTGTGGATAGGAATGAAGATTTAGTTTTGATGGTGTATATGTGGGAATCTGCTTGTGTGTTGTCGAATTGCATTCACTTTGACATTCGAAAAAGTTTTGGTTTTTCTCAATTATCTTGAGGGTATTTTTCGATGCAGTAGTCTTTGTCTAAGGTGGTGTGGTAGAAGCGATGAGTGACCGTTTGGTTCCATGCGAATCAGAATCTGCGCTATTTCTCCTGCATTTGTGTGAGATGGTGGCCGGCATAGTGAGCAGTAGTTGTATAGGACATGGTTTTTCTTTTATATACAGATATTACTCATTTCGACTGTTGAGCCATTGGAAATGCGGCGACCTGTGGGTGTGATACGGAATGGCTTTAAAGAGCTCTCTGAGCGATAGTTGAGATTTTTTTTGGAGCAGCAGTTCTGGTGCAGGTATATAGGGGTTTTCAGTATATGCCATGAGCATGGGCATCCGATGAGAAATACGAAATATCTATGGCGAACGCATGACATACGGAGAAATTGTACTGGGTAGAAAAAGCAACATGCTCAAAATTTCGACACTTGCGCTCCTTATGTTTCCGGTTTTCCATTGCACAACGCAGTTGCTTCGGTTGCAGTTTTGTATGCAAAGATGTTACTGAATTTGATTTCTTCAATAGGAGTTTGGTTAATTTTCTTTTACTCTGATATATATTCTTCATTCCAGTCGTTCATTTATAGATGTCATTGCCATTTTGACACGTCAGCCTATAGATTATATCTTCTCATTCACCCTTCCTTTCACTCTGATCCGCCATCGAGATTGATCTCAATCTTTTCAAAGCCTGCATCGCTACTGATTGAGTCCATCGATTCCCTGTAACCACTGCAACAGCCAGAAATGCATACCACGCGTGGAGTGTTCTCTGCGAGCGCTCAGCCGGCCTTCGGCCGCCTTCGCTATCATAGTTAATCTCGATGCTTTCTCCAACGAACATCCACCTTCAACCACCCTCCCAAACTATGTTTTATGAAGTTTTGAGCGTTTTTGGAGAAAATGTTTTTTTGACCTTGGACCTTTGACAGACACACACACAAACGAATTTCCGTTTTTTGACCACTTTTTTTCGACATGACCCTCCTTTCAGTCGAGGGAAATACACTGATGATGATAATTATTTTATCTTTAGTTGTTTTATAGAATGTTATGTATATCTTTTTATAAAAATATTGATCTAATACTAATTTTAACATTATTGATATTGAAACGATAACCAATTAAAATACAAAGCGATTAATTACATAAAAAAGAATAAAAAAAAAGAATTAACAAGTAATATATTAATATAATTCTTATTTGAT